CATCTTTAGTACGCCTATGTTCAAATTGACTGCGCGAAAGTCTGACCAAAACATAATACGACAATTAGTAATAACAAGTTTTGTTCGCTTAGATGAACACAAGCAATCATAACAATAATATTGAAGAAACGGAAAAAGCAGATGCAGAGGAGGAGATTGTTGAAGTTGTCCAACAAAACAACGTAAGTTAAAGACAGAGGGCCGATAGTTTTATTTTTCACAACTACTTCAGGTTAGGTCTAAACGCCCATTTCCACTCAGGAAAATTTTCCGCAGAAAGAAAATTTTGTCGGAAAATAATTTTGAAGTTGAAATTTTTCAACTTTTAACAATGATATTTTCGGAAAAGTTTCTGTCCGTGGAAATTTTTCTTGAGTGGAAATGGCCTTAATAAATGTATAAAAATTCCACAAGAAATTTCCGTCTACAAAATATCTTCAACAATAAGTTAGTATAGCCGGTCAGTAACTAATGCAGCAGTATATTTTAGTTGTTCGTGCGGTGTGCCTAGAATTACAAGGGTAATTGTGTACTAGTTTGCATGGCAACTTTCGTAATTCAGATTGACTTTTTTAACCTGAATTTTATCATGTTATTTCTCAGCAGGAGATGAAGAAATCGCCATCAAAAACTAGTTTAAAGAAAGATACAAAAGATCGAAAAAAATCTCCTGCTGTAAGTACATACAGTCTTTTAAGCCTGGTTCACACTAGCAATTTTGTCGGCGATTTTGTATTTCTGATGGATGCAAATGAGTGAACTCGCACACAAAAGTATAGAGTTGCTTTTCAGAAGTAGAACATTCCAAGTCTTTTGCATGTCATTCATTCAATCGCATTTGCCACGAGGAGAAAAATCGCCGACAGAATTGCTAGTGTTAACCAGGCTTTAAGCCCGCCGCACACGAGAGCAAGGCCAAAAAAAAATATGTGGGTTTCCGGTTTCTTCTTATAAAAACGTAGGTAGGGTAGGTCGGTTTTAACTTTTTTTTTTAAAACTTTTTTTTTAATTTTCCGAACAAGCGGACGCCATTTTGTTTAGTGAGTGCTTCCACATCCAAAGATAAATTTCCCTAATATTGCCTCAAATTTCAATTTTCCACAAACTTTTTCCTCTAAGTGGAAACACTTACAAGCATGATCCAATAAAAAAGTTTAGGGTCGGGATTTCGACGTCCAAAAGCTAGGTAGGGTCGGGGAACAGGAAACCCACATATTTTTTTTTGGCCCAATTTGCTGAGCTAACCGCCTGGCGAGGCGATTAGCTCAGCAAGATGCTCTCGTGTGCGGATAGTTTCCGTGAGGATTTAACCTCTTGAGGAAAATATCTATCGTGTTTGATATTTTTCGCCTCGCGAGGAAAAAATCTCAGCGGCATCTGCGGATGTTGTGAGCTAAGTGCTGAGCTGTTTGAATCAATTAGCCAATGACAAACCATGGTTTCTTCATGTGACTTGGAACAAATTGGAGGAAAATGCAAATGATTTTGTTATTTATGTTGTTGTTGAGTAGTTTTCTCCACGTGTGCGGTGAAAATACACAGCTGAGCTAGCTGCCACGCGAGGCGGTTAGCTCAGCAAGTTGCTCTCGTGTGCGGCGGGCTTTAATGTATAGGGTGCGATAATTCAATTTTTTTAGTTGTGCCTGACTGGTACTGCACTTACAACCTTGTGTCGTCAACATTGTAAGCCTCGAGGTGTATCTAGTCTTTAGAATGAAACATAATGTACATGTTTCTGAAAGGTATTCATTCAGTAACGTGACACTAGTAGATTATAGATGCACAAACACTACGGTCGACTCTAACTCATCATATCACTCCAATCATGTTTAAATGCCAAGTCATACTAGACTTGCTCATATTCCGACTAAATTATGGTTTTGAATAACTTGGGCTTGGAAAGTTAAGCAGATAACAAGAGTACCGCGTACCTACTTGGTACCGTACGTAACTGAAAAGACAGAAGTACCTCTGGTACGTAAGTACGCGAATTGTCGCACCCTGAGTTGTAAGCTTGACTCGTAATCTTATTCATCTTTTCATGAGAATGAATATTTTATTATCGCTTCTGATATCGTCTGTACGTAACAAGTTGTTAACAAGTTCGCAACAAGCTCGCAGCAATGTAAAAACGCACAAGTTGTAACAAACCTGCATGCAGCAGACTTGTAGCAATGCTGTTCCAACAACTTGTCATCAGGATGTGTTCGCACTGCTTGTTCCCAGCTTGTTGACAACTTGACACAAAGTTGTTGAACTCAACAGACTTGTTACAAGTTGTTCCAACAACAACTTTGTCAAAAAGTTGTGAGTGATAACCTTGTAGCAACTTGATAAAATAACACCATTGTTACAACTTGTTGACAAGCTTGTTACAAGCCTGTTGTGGGCACATCTTGTTGCCAAGTTGTGAGCACATCTTTTTGACAACCAAGTTGTGAGATTTTTACGTGTTGACTTCCTTCGTCTTCTCCAAATATTATGACCATCAAGGTTTACGAATAAAAAAGTTTCGCAAAAGATATAAATACCAGTATATGCTAAAAAATATTAGAGTCATCGTCGTATACAAACCAACAAGAACTTAATAATGAACGTTGTCGTGTTTTCAGCAAACGTCATCACGGATAGGGAAATCAAGCTCGTCTTCACAGCTCAATACATCATCCAATCGTGAAAATTCAGGCAAGAAAAAAACACCCAGTCATACGCAGCGAACACACAGCTCTGCAACTCCAACCAACGCCAGTACTCGCACGACAAAACAGCGCAAAGATAAAACTAGGTGACCTAGGTAGCCATATTGTAAATAGATATAGTCATGAGGTAGTTTTCCTTGACGAGAGACGTGTCTCTGTACAAACTGTTTGCCATTTATGGAGTTATATATAGTATGTGTAGATGCCGTTTTATTATTTTGGGATTTAATATTAAAGATATTTTTAGATAATCAGTTGTAACTTGTAAAATATCAATTTTCGTCTTGAAGAATTGAAACTATTTCTAAACCAGTGATCCAGTCAATGTCCCGTCTACTTCTGAGATCAGTGGTTTTAATGCGCAAAACCTATCCTTCTCTCACCCTTTGTGACCCCCAGGACTAACATGGAAGAGGTTATTTCGCAGCCTAACCAATTTGTTTCTAAACCAATCTTGAGGAACTACGAAATGTCATTACTTTGTGAACCCAGCGACTGCTATTTATCCCTCATTCACCTTTTGTAACACCCTACGATTACAACTATCCCTTCTTCACACCGCTATGACCAATATAATCCTACATCTATTTCTCATTCACCCTTTGTGACCCGACCGACTATAATATATCCTTCATTCACCCTTTGTAACACCCTATGATTACAACTATCCCTTGTTCACCCCCTTGTGAGCAACATATCCCCATATATTCCTCAATCACCCTTAATTAATAACTCCCAAGACCTCATTACCAGTGCTTTGTAGGAACCGCGCGAAAACCAAAATGGCGAACACATTTTGACAAATTTTGAACGTTTGTAACCATTTGTAACATTTTAATAAAGACGAAATACACCATACGAAATGCTTACAAGGTAAGGAAAACTCTTTCTGAAGTTAGTGTAGCTCTTGTTTCATATTCTTCGTCAATAAAGAACCAAGTATTTTGTGTATTTTATGGTAAAAAGCGACCACGAAGAGCGACTATCAAGACAACGTGATGAAGATGTCTCTTCTTCCAGGGTTAGTACTGAAATTGTTGTATGTTGAACATAGATATAAGGTATAATGAGTGATGTAACTTTAGCTGGGGCAAGTAAAAATCACTACGGGCAAGAAGAGGTTCCTTGGTTCCAGTCTGTTTTCGATTCTTCATTAGTAAATCAGCTAAAATCAACACTTCATGATCAAGTCTGCAAATGACTTCAAAGTTAAAGAAAACATAAGATTAGAATGTTGCTTAATCCTTAGGCCGAGGGAATTAAAGTCATAGCCTACCGGCACATGACGATGTTTCAACGTTGAAATTTGGTTGAAAAAAGGTCGCGACATCGCGACAACCCAATATCAACGTTGCTCTAACGTTGTTTTACGAACGTTGGTTCAACAGCAGCAAACAGATGTCAAATCAACGTTCGTTTATGGTTGGTTATACGACGTCAACTTGTGAAGTATTCTCAACGTTGTTTCAACGTGGATTCAACGTTGAATTATGGTTGACGAGATTGGCAACCTATTCTCAACGTTGTTTCAACGTCAAAAGAGTAACGTCATATTTGCATTTTCAATCCTTTTTCAACGTCTATCCAACGTCTGGGTGATCATTTCCAACGTTGATTCAACTTTGAATAAACATTGTTTTGCCCGCTGGGAGAATACCATCCTTATAATTTCAAAAATAGAAGAGGCTTTTTTTCATTATTCATTATTTTTAGAAATGTGTGAAAATTGGTCGAACATAGGCAAGTGAATTTTATTCCGGGCAACCAATTTTCATGTGTAACTTGCCCTGATAGCTAGTGGTTAAAATAGTTAATAGGTTACACCATTGATAACAGTTTCCAAAATGGCACAAGACAAATTCCAGCGACATTATTGAAAAAAGACTTGTACCATTTCAACAGCTTGTACCAGCCTAGGATTTGTTCGCACTGCTTGTTCCCGGCTTGTTGGCAAGTTGCTATGCGGTTGTTGAACGGCAACAGACTTGTTACCTTTTATTGTATGAGTCACTGAGTAGAAATTTGCTATTCACTTTTAAATATTTAATTTGAACCCTGATTATTGACTTGTATTTATATTTGTTGAACAGCGGAAAAGGGCTCGTGATGACAGGGACGATATACCAGATAATCGAGAAAGACGTAGAAATGACGAGCGTAAGAAAAGACGAGGGAGATCTAGGGATAGATCAAGGGATAGAAAAGATGAAAGGAAGGATAACATGGGACATCAGAGGACAGATGAAGGTCGGGAGAGAAGAGAACGAGATGATAAAGAGGAGAAAAGCAAAACCCCTGAAGAGACAAAAAAGGACGATCAAAATTCAGAATCAAAGAAGAAGGAATCTATATTGACAAGAGCAGGTATGTTGTTGTCCGTGCTTAAGTTGCAACCAGGGGCGGATCTATCGTGGAGGTGCACACCCCACTTAGTGGTGTCTACCACCCCCAACACCACCCTAAAAAGATCTGTTTGACCATACATATTCTTCTTTTCAAATAGCGATAGCGGAACTTCTATTGTTAACGCGTGTCGATTTCTTGAAACAACTTGATTTGTGAGCTCATGAGAAAATACTCAGAATGCTGTGGTTAACCCATTAAGCGCCAGCGCTCTCCCCTTGACGAGTAAAATCGTCTGGCGTTAGACAGAGTAAAATACTAAAGTAGGGTGCATCAGGGTGCAATGCGACTCAATGGGTTAAATATCATGGTTAAATATGTAAACATGTCGAGGTTGTTATACAGCCATATTTTCAAATATACTGTATACTTTAACAAGCAAATTTACTGTGCTACAGCAACTGTCCAGTCACACACATGTGATAAAAAGCCGATATAAATATTATTATTTTACTTGTGATAAAAAGCCAAATGAATATAAAGTATTACAGGGTTGTAGGTAAAAAGGGCCCACAGTAATTGGCATATACTGTTGTGATGATCCTGCCCTAGTTGGCAAATGATCCTGCACTAGTTGGCAAAGCTAAATAAAAATAAATTATTTTAGTCCATCTAACGCCAAACAATTTTACTCGTCATGGGGAGAATGCTGCCACTCAATGAGTTAAATAATAATACTTTTTCATGCATTAAAAATTGTCTAACAAATAGTTTGTTATTGTTATTAGGTGGCGCTTACATTCCCCCAGCGAAACTTAAGATGCTTCGAGAACAAATTGAGGACAAGAGCAGGTAAAATATTTATTCACGTTTTATAGTGACAAATAGTGTTTTCATTGTGTGGTATAACCAAAATAGCGTTTTTGTTGCATGGTGATTGCGTTGCAAAGGGTGTTTTCATTACATTGTTACTGAGTGTCAAGATTCCATTTTTCTGCTACACTCGAAATTACCATCTACAAAAACTCTTCTCATGTTTCTGTATTACTCAATATTCAGCTCGGAATATCAAAGACTCAGTTGGGAGGCCTTGAAGAAAAGTATCAATGGTCTGATCAACAAGGTAGGATTTGTTGTTCACTTCATCTACATTTTGGCACCATAAGCGTTTCAGGTAATTTTTTATGA